GTTCGCAGTATTGATTCATAAGTTTGCTGCTCGAGTTGCTTCATTTTTAATCCCTACTTTCTAGAGATATTTCCTCTTTCCCATTAAGCAATTCAGACGTTCCGATCGTACGGCTGTAAATTATTTATATCGCGGTTCTCCTTCGATTTCTTACGAGTTCCTTAAACAAAAAAAAATGGCATTTTGCTTATTTATTCATCGGAAGGAATGTTCCATCGACTGTTCGCTTGAACACATTCATCATTCATGTGGAATTTGGATGTTTATGAGGACATACAATTTTAGAGTACTCTCGAGAGCAATATTCGATGTACACTACCGGCCAGATGTTTGGAATCACTGTGCATTGCAATTTCCACAAAAGTTCCCCAAAAAGGTTAGTATTTATAATAATTTTCCAACGAATTTTTTATAACTCAAATCAATCGAAATGAGGTAAAGTGCTATTGATCTCCACAACATCAATTTCAAATCAATAAAGAATTAGTAGCAGATTCAATATTAATATAAATTGGCAAGTGATTCCAAATTTTCGGCCGGTAGTGTGTGTTCGAATATTCGAATAGTCAAACAGTCGAGTATAGTAATATTCGAATATCGGTAAAGTTCGGATTTCAAATATTTCGAACATCCCTTGCATATTATTTCATCTCAACTGATCACAATTGTAACTCTCTTTTCTCAACGATTGCGAATCTTTATATATTTCGAAAACATCACTGCAATCGCTCGCAATCTTCTTCCTTCACTATTGACTTTATCAAAGTCTAAACTTTATCCAATTTATGTATAAACCTTCCGAAACTTTCATCCACGTTTCACTGTTTTAATCGACCACAATGTTTGGAACAACAACAAAAGCATCGAAACATTACACGCGATTGATATTGAACGCGTTTCATAAAGTGTACACGATGCAACAATATTTTCGTTCGTGCTCGAGCTTTTCCCTTTGGAAACACTAACAGCTGCGCGTATCAGATATTACCATCAGCCAATATGACCGTCGAAACGGGCCAAATATGGCAAGAATTCACGTAAAGATCGCATGGAACGGCGTACCTAACCTTCACCCACGAAATTCCCCTATATTTCGATATTTATAACATCTCGTAGCCGTATATGTCTCCTTGAATATCAGGCCAACTGCTACTCTATTAACCTGATAAATAATCTTGCCAAAGAATGTTCGATGGATTGATGTGCTTCAGTTCTCCGTCAAGTAGGTACGATGAACGACGATTCTCCTCGTCGTTGATAAATAATGGAAAAGAGGTGTGAATAACGGAGTGGAGCGAAAATACGTAAGCGTGTCGATAAATGTTTGACAGGTGAATGAATGAATTAGTCGCATGCCGCGGCGGATTGAATTTTACTGTTTTCGATGAACGCGACGATAAACGGCGCGATCAAAAGGATCGAAATTGCTACGGAAGAGTGGACGACGAGCGGAATTACGCAAAGCCTCTGAGAGCGTAAGCCGATAAGCTGATTCGAGCTTCCCTTCCGCGAATACGGCCACTTCCGCCGGGATGAAAGTTTAATTCGGTGTTTGTTAATATACACGGTGCGGACGTGGAATAAATGTGAATTTATTTTCTCAGGATTTTTCTGCGAATTTCACTGTTCAGAGATAATGTAGATTAGTGTACATTTTTTCGTCGAAAATGACAGTTGTTTAATCCTAGACAGGTATGTCGGCCGTTCGACCCTTAGATTTCTTAGCATGTAGTTCTATTGCATATATTTTTCGCCTTCGCTCGTTTCGTAGCAGCGGTAATTTTATGACGCCACGGCAATCGTACTCTTTCAATCTAAGAACTTGCTTTTACCTTTTATTGTCTCGTTTTCGACTTAGAATCTTCGCCCCTATTTTCACTTGTACATTTTTGCATTCGTATGGTCACCAGAGCCGAAGCGCGTCTTAACGTTATTGTCCGCTACGGTCCACATTTTTGCATTCGTATGGTCACCAGAGCCGAAGCGCGTCTTAACGTTATTGTCCGCTACGGTGATTGTTCGAGGCACTCGGAATTCCCGCGTGCGTCACTCTAGGGTACGCTTGGTACCTGAGAGTGACCTATGGTCTGGGGGGTGGCATTTTCTTGTAGTTTTCGCACCTATGATTTTAACCAATAGTTTTTCCCCACCACTATTGAAAAATGTATTCAACCTATCCGAGGGCCTCACCCCCGCGATGCGTCCTCGCACGGAGGTGTCGGTGTAGTTTTCGCACCTATGATTTTAACCAATAGTTTTTCCCCACCACTATCGAAAAATGTATTCAACCTATCCGAGGGCCTCACCCCCGCGATGCGTCCTCGCACGGAGGTGTCGTGGGACCTTACGCGGAAGGGAAAGACAGAAGTTATCTGACCATGCCAAGAGTCGCTCCTTTTAGAAGTTTAGATCATTAGCAATAGCTGTTTCGTCCTCCTAATCACGGAGGTGGTCCTTCGAACCCATTAGATTTGGTCGGCACACCATGTGCTAAATTCGACAAAGCTCGAAAGTTGGTTGCAACTATCACGAGCACATCATAACAACAATTAATTGACAATTTTGTTTCTGTAATTCAAAAAGTAATGTCTCACTTCGGAGGATTTTTCGGTGAATTTTATTATTCAGAGGTAATTGTTATTGCGCAAAGGAAAATGCTGTAGAATTAAAATAACGAGTACATAAATTAACAATTTTATTCCTGTTATCGAGAAGGAAATATTTTACAAACGTAAAGAATTATTTGGAGTCAAGAAAAAAAATTGAAATGGATTTTTAAAATTGCTCTTTTTCCCGTTCTGCGGAAATCTTTTCTCAAATGCAAGATTTCGAGTATGAAAAGTTTCGTCTTGAAATAGATCAGAATAGTGTAAAGCAAGGAAATGGTTGCTGTTGGGCAGAAATTTTGTATTTCGAGTACACGAATCGATAAATTGATTGTCGCGCATTATTTATCAATTCTGCTCACGATTGCAACGCTGGAGAAAGACGAGGGATAGGAGAATTGACACAATGGGAACGTCCTCGGTGAAATTTCCGGAAACGTTTTCGCGTAGATCTCGGGGAGCGAATCAATTCGAAACGGTGACAGCCGCCGCGTGACGTAAATGCAGCGAGCATAATGCGTTCTGTGTGCGTGTGGTTGACATAACATCGGAGGAACGTTGTTATCAGCACTTGGACATGGTTATGTCAGATAGTAGGAGGATTCGTACGTTCTGAGACTGTCGTGTTTCAATTAACACGCTAAATATCATCAGAATTATATTCGACGTCGAGATAGGAAGCTGAAATTTCATTGAACACTCTGATATTTCATCAACGTAGCAATCTTTGTGCATAATCAAAATTGAGACACTCTGTGACTAAGTGAAAATTTCTTAAAATGATATACAAGAATGAAACTTGATAATTGTACGTGACAATATTTGGAAATGGGACTTGAATTTTCAAAAATATGCAAAATATGTGCAAAGATGGATTAAAGTTTCAAGAATTCAACCCTATCGACATTTTTCTATATTTATTGAGAGAAAAATAATTATTCATTTTCTGTAACTATAAAAGCATATTGAAGTGTCTACCAAAAAGGTAGATTGAAGTGTCAAGAATTCAACCTTAGCAGCATTTTTCTGTAATTAAATGCTTCACATATATTCAAGGTATCTTGGTTCACCTAATGAAAGATTTATTTCGAAATTAAGTGCTGCAGAATATTGACTGGAATAATATTGAATATTGAATTTATTCATTTGTTTATTTATTAACACCTTGACTGCCAAGTCTATTTTGAGGAAATCTGTTCTAGACGCCAACATTTTTCTTTCAATTTATTGTATAGAATTAAACAAACACATATTAATTTTTATATTATGACTTTAATTTTAATTGCTTTTTTGCAAAAAAATGCTTTCGAATTATCTCGTGGTCGGGCGTCTCCGAATAGGATGTAACTTCTACCAGCAAACTGCCAACTACGAGTTATCTCGTAGCATGGCAGTCAACGTGTTAACCCTTTAAGGGTTATCCTCCTGATAATTAGTTTACTATTTCAAATTTGTTTTAAAGTAAACCGCGTCTAAATTATATTTCCCGAAAATATAGATTCATAAGTTCACGCCAGCTATTTTTATTGCTTAAAAGTATGTAAGTTTATTGGTTGCATTAGTTGTGTTTTGTGGGTTCATCGCCCTGAACACATTTTGCACCGCGTCGTTCATATATGAGCGACAATATACAGGGTGTCCCGGAAATGGGGGGTTGCTGGGGTGACTCTGAACAACTTTTTCCTTTTCCAAAATACCGTTTGAAGCTTCGTTTTTGAATTATTAACGAAAAACACTGGCCAATTACAGCGCGCGTAGAGCCCGCGCTCAGGGGCGGAGAACAGAGGCTATTTTCAGACCTTCGCTATTTTCTTCACGATTCCGACTAATTGCAGTTTTTTCAAAAATTTATACAAATGTCTCTAAGCCTTATAAAAATAGCGGTGCAAAGTGAAATTTTTTTGACAGCTGTCGAGAACCGAGAACTGACGCGTACGCATTTGTTCGATCGCGCGCGGGTGAGCCTCTGTTCTCCGTCCCTGAGCGCGGGCTCTACGCGCGCTCTGATTGGCCAGTGTTTTTCGTTAATAATTCAAATATGAAGCTTCAAACAAGATTTTGGTAAAGGAAAAAGTTGTTCAGAGTCACCCCAGCAACCCCCGGGTGTTCGAGGAGTTACGGGACACCCTGTATGTAAATTACAAACAGAAACGCGTATAAACTGTCACTGACCTTTTCAATATGTATTAAATAAAGTGAAACATATAAAATTTGATATAAAAAATATCAAAAATGAGATTTAATCCGAAAGAAAAACAAAATAAGAAACAAAAAAGTTGTTTAGGCTGTACGAAATATTGGCTTAAAATTCCGCGGTGCAGAATGTGTTAAAGGGTTAAGGGAGGCTGTAAAGCTTTAAGTTGAGGTAAATGGTTATTGTACATTGTTCAATAGAAGCCACTGAGAGAGCTGGGCCGGTTGTGCCTCAATGCGGGTGAGCAGAGCAACGACGTCGTCGCGGAAGTGTGCACCGAGGCACGCGGAGGGCTTCCTCTGCTGCAGGTATGGCCGAGCGATTCACCGAGAGGCGAGGCCGATGGACAGGCGCAGGCATTCGTCTTTCCGGACGTCCAGGAGAACGTCAATGACAGTGGCATCGAGTCCATACAGGTAGAAATTAAAGAAACATTTTTCAAATGTACAAATTTAGAAAATAAAGGAACAGAGAAACTCATAATTTTCCTATTTTAGAAATTACAGAAAATATTTTGTATTTAACCACTCGCTCTGATTGATAATTTTAGAATCTTGAAAATTCCACACTAACAAAATTTCAATATTAAAATTCATTAAAAAGCTTTAAAAAATTAAAAATTGAAATTTATCAAATTTCCAAAAATTCAATATTAAAATTCGTTAAAAGGCTTTAAAAAATTAAAAATTGAAGTTTATCAAATTTCCAAAAATTCAATATTAAAATTCGTTAAAAGGCTTTAAAAAATTAAAAATTGAAATTTATCAAATTTCCAAAAATTCAAGAGTGACTGCATTCGAGTTGCAAAATTCGAAGCGTCCTCATACTGTATAATACAATAGTATGATTTCCTGAAAAGTGTAATGTGACAGAAATAATCATCAAATCTCAACAATCTACTGAAATTCTATCCCGTAACAGTAACCACTCGATCGTAAAATTCAACAGTAATAAGATCCAAGAACATGAATTCTAAAGCAGTGCTGCAGTGAGCTTTTGAATGTACATTGAAGAAATGATATTTTCAAAAGTGCACACTGCAGAAATTTAACGGTAATGTACGATTGTCGTAAAAGGCGTCGCCGTCGCCATGCGGAGTAGCAAGTACTAGCCCAGCCGCGACGCCTCAACAATCTCGTCGTGCCAGTCTACTTCATCCTGACCACGCTCGGCTGCAGCTGCATCATTTGCATCACAATCACCACAATTCAGGGGCTAAGAGTCCACCGACGCCAGACAGAGCGTCCATCGACGAGGAACCTCCACTTCCGCCCAGTCCATCGAGTTCGACCACCAGTAGTCTACGTTCGATGCCAAGTTCCGCCAATGCTCCTATTAATTCGCAAGACAGGAGACGCAGTAGCAGGTAATAAATTGTGTTTTTTCTTTTTTTTTTTTTCAACGTCTGCGCAGTGGATTTTCCTTGGAATTTATATGCCAAGTGTTGCAATTCTACTTTGCTATGGAACTGAGTCGTTTCTTGGATTTGCAGTGTTAGAGAATTTTTGATTCTCAACATTAGAAAATTTATCGAACAATATTTAGACTTGCAATATTAGAAAATCCAAGGAGAAATTTTTAGATTTGCAATATTAGAGAATTTTTGTGGAAATTTTAGAATTTTTTTAAGGGAATGTTAGAGAAATTTTTTTATTTGCAATATTAAATAATTTTTAGATTTGCAATATTAAAGAATTTTTGAGAAAATTTTAAATTTCCAGCATAAGAGAATTTTGAGAGAAAAGCAGACAAGTAATTCCAAAATTTTGTTCTTTTCTTTACCTTTTTTTAAAGTAGTCCTAATTTAGGCTATATTCTGCGGTATAATTCCACAGTCTCGTTGTTACCCTCTTTTCACATTAGCATGCCACATTTCAAACACACCTTTCGCCACTAAATGTCGTCTCTGAATTTATGAAAGCAGCCCTACTTCGAACCTAACCGTGTTACCAGTTTTATCAATCTGATGGAGCATGATTCAAGGGGTAGATAAAGTAAAAACTATACACCACCTGCCACAACGTATTACATAATCCTGCATGAACCTTCAAGCAGGCATTTACATAATTTACTCAGTATTCACATCCACTTCTCTACATACAGCGTGCCTAAAAAGAAGTATTAATAAGGATATAAAGAATCGGTATTCTTTGAATTTGAATTTTTGAAAATTCGGTTTTGCAATCAAGAAATCTGAAAAAATTCACAGGCACGCACCTTACTGGCTGTAGTATCTCTGATTTTTTTTTCGTAATAGTTATGTGACAGAACAAGAGAAATCGAGCTTAAACTGTAAATCTACATTTCGATCTATAACTACTCTAGTAGGCTGAAATTTGGCACAAAGGATTTTCATTCAGAGTCCTATCGATAGACCGAAACACTGGAAATTAAAATTTCCTTGTCACGAAACACATCAAGTTTGAAGAGAAGAACGAAACAAAAGAATCTCGTCATCGACACCTCGAAAGGTTCACGAGAAATCTCGAAATACGTCTTTAACCTCTATCACGAGCAATCTGGATCTCAAGAAAATTGGATATCAGCGATCGTTCCGTAGCAGACGCGTCACGGTCGTCTCGTCCACAAAAGGGAGGCAAGTCCCTGAACGTTGCCTGTTCCCGATCCGTGAAATTATCGGACGAACGGGACTGGAAATAATCCCCGAGGCTGATAGTCTGACGTCGATCTTAACTCGTGTCAAGGCGCCGACCCTGGCACCATGCAAATACTAGGAACACGTGCGGTTACCGCTCTCCTTTTCATTTATGCATCCGGCGAGATATTAATCGCGGTCGTGATATCCATGTGATTCTAGCAGGATGAATGCTCTTCTCATTTTCACGTGGGTAGATCGTCGTGATTCTCATCGTCCCCCTATCCCCACGTGAACTTTCAAGGGTGATGAAGCCTTCACCGAGACACTGAATCGATCCGTCGAGGTTTCGGTCCTCGTGCACCTTTGAGGGATATCGCGAATAGCTAAGGGTTATCAAAGCCTCGATCTCCGAGTCCTTAACGTTCTATATCCTCGAGGAATTTCATTATTTTTCGTTGGAATTTATAGATCACTAGTGAACATATTCAACGATATCATTGGAAAATTCGATTGATAATTTAAGTCACTTATCCCTTCTCTTGTATGTAGCTAGAATAAAGTATGCTTATCTCGATAACGAAACGAAACAGACCTATAGTGTATATGACATCTTTCATTCAGAATCGCCTGCTTAACACGTGGGCGAAGTTTGTTGAAAACCTCACGGGACACCCGGTATATTGAAATTTTTCACGCGAAGCTACTTACTCCTATCACTAACTAATCCTTCTTCCCCTATTGTTTTGACCTTCCGTTCGAAGACCAGGATCCCCGTATTTTGTCGTAGAATCTGCACAATATTCTTCCACCATTCTCTTTCAACTTTCAATGCTTTCTTATACACGCTCAACAGGTACAGCATGTTCGACGCCCTGGACCTAGAGTACGCGCTTCTGAGGGCAGCAGCTCGTGGTTCAGTTGGCCCATACTCTCTATCCGAGTCTTTGCACAAGCTAACCTTCACACAGAGCCTAGCGTTCCCTGCGTTGGCCCGTGGTCTCGCATCGAAGCAGAGTGTGCCCACCAGGAGGCCGCAACAACATACAGAGAGCGGACTGAACGCGTTCGCCAAGGTAGTTACCGCTCTGGTGCTAGTTCTCGTCAGTGTTCTAGTGTTTGGTGTGGTATACAAATTTGTGAGGACGTGAGGATGGCTGCTGGTGCCCGATCGACCACCTGGCTCCTCGCAGGAGTTCGATCGACCGGGTACCGGCGATTCCTTTGACCGGTGACTCGTTTCTTCGCCCATTTGTCAGCTATCATTCGCAGTTTCTTACGATTCTGAAGCTTGTTAAACCTCGAAAGTACGAGGTGTTGCGTATTCCGCGAGGGTCAATACGCAACACTTTTCATTGGTGAATGAAAAGTGAATTTTGATGAGAGTTGAGGACAGATGTGAGGAAGGGTATGTGAAGAATGAGGCCTAGTTCCATGGAATGAGTTTGCGTTGAATTATTCAGATCAAATCGTTGGAGAAGGTTGAATTTTGTGTCGAATTCACCAATGAAAAGTGAATTTTGATGAGAGTTGAGGACAGATGTGAGGAAGGGTATGTGAAGAATGAGGCCTAGTTCCGTGGAATGAGTTTGCGTTGAATTATTCAGATCAAATCGTTGGAGAAGGTTGAATTTTGTGTCGAATTGTTGCGACTAGATTGTCTGGAGAAGTTGAAGGCGAGTGTGTGAGATTCATTCTATTGTCCTTTTATCGACAAACAGTTGAAAATTGTTGAGTAGAGAACTGTGCTCTTTGGATGAATTGAATAATGCAAAGAGTCGAAGAGTAGAGAATTGTGCTCTTCGAATGAGTGAAATGCTTCGAGTCGACAGGATTTCTCTCGTGGGATTTATCGTTTGAGAATACTTCCAGAATTTTTACGGACAATTCTATTGTCTCTGGTAGAAAAAATTCTGGTTGCATTAGAAGGACAGTGTGACAATGTACAGTTACACAGTGATTTAAGGTGGCAAGTAACGAACGAGCTTGAAGCGAGAAAATGGCAGGCTGATGGTTTCGATTCGTTTGTATTCAGAGTGGTCACCGGATGAAAATAGAAGAGAAAATGTAGAAAGGATTTTGATACGTTGCCGGGAATTTAACGACGGCGTTAACGAGCATTTTTACCGTGCGAACAGCGCTTTGGCGGTCGATGATTGAAAATTTATCGCCGCTGCGGCATTTTCATGCGGACAAGGTGTTTCCCGCGCGCGCAAAAAAAAAGAAGAAGAAGAAAACACCAACGGTAGCACTTCAATTCTTTTTTCCTAAGATCCTCCTGTTTTTTAAATAAAAAGTTACAGCTGCATTAAGATCAGCTCGAAGAATCTGTTACACGTTCAATTTCCTATTGCATTCTCGTTGAAATTCACGACGAAATCTCTTAGAACTCCGTTTAATTCGCTAGAACCTTGTCCGTCTGAAAAATCGTCTTACATATTGTATTTATGCGAGACGGCGTGTCTGAACACGCGTTAATTAGATTAAAAAAAGAAAGTCCGTGACTCTTCAAGTGCTTTACACGATTCTATCACGAATGACAATCGCTCTCGTAATTTAAAGAGAAAAAGAAACAAAACAAATTGATAAGAAGGAAAGTTTAAAAAACTTGCGGTAAATATCCGAATTTCTGCTTGCGACTATTTTTAATAATAACGATAATATATTCGTTGCATTCTTTGTTACGTTCATTTCATACAGTTTTGTACAATTTACAAAAAAGCTGTGCAATTATTGATTTTATCGTGTTAACCGCTTAGACGATGTGATATGATATATATATATATATTAAAGTGTAACTTTATAATCTCGAAATGGTCAATTTGAATGTGCACGTACTGATTTACTTCTTCCGTCGACGTGAATTTTTGTTAACGCCACGAAAAACCCTGCTGAAGTGATGCGTTTTTTTTTTTCATGAGAACCGTCTCGACGACACTTTAAACAAGGTAATCGTGAAACGTACATGTATACACGTATATTCTCTATTATATTGTAAATATACACATATGCAGGTATTGAGGAGCGCGTTTGGCAGCTACGACGTTGTGCTATATACTTTAAGCAACGAAAAACGTCTCTAAGGTGATCCACGGCGAGATTCGTCGCGTTGCAGAAGAACGATGCTGCAACTCTGCGCTCGTTTCTCTTTCAGA